TTCAGGCAGAAAACTTCATGCCCAGAATCACGAGCAAGACTAATCTAAGAATTTGGAGTCCCAAAGGAATTCTGTGCCACCTGCCATCCTGCAGTTTTCATTCCCAGGGAATGGAGTGATGGGAAAGTCTCATTCTATTCCAAACAGGCAAAGGGAACCGGTATTGCCCTAGGACTTAGATTGAGCTGGGTAAAAAAATTTTTTTTTTTTGGCGGTATGCGGGCCTCTCCCTGCTGTGGCCTCTCCTGCTGCGGAGCACAGGTTCCGGATGCGCAGGCTCAGCAGCCATGGCTCACGGGCCCAGCCGCTCTGCGGCATGTGGGATCTTCCCAGACCGGGGCACGAACCCGTGTCCCCTGCATCGGCAGGCGGACTCTCAACCACTGCGCCACCAGGGAAGCGCCCCCCTGCCAAATTTTTTTTCTTGTGATGAAAACTCTTAAGATATACTTTCTTAGTGACTTTCAAATTTGCAATACAATGTTATTGACTATAGTTCTCATTCTGTACATCGCATGATTTTTTTTTTTTTTTTTTAATAAATGGAAGTTTGTACCTCTTGATCGCCTTCACCATTTCATCCACCCTCAACCCCCTTCCCCTCTGGCAACAACCCATCTGTTTTCTGTACCTATGAGTTTTGTCTGTTCAGTTGTTTTTTAGATTCCACATATAAGTGAAATCATAAAGTATGGCTTTCTGCATCTGACTTATTTCACTTAGCACAATGTTCTCGAGGGCCATCTATGTTGTCACAAATGGTAAGATTTCATTTTTTCTTAGGGTTTAGTAGTTTTCCATTATCTCTCTCTCTCTATCTCACATCTTCTTTATCCACTCATCTGTGATGGACACTTAGGTTGTTTCCATATCTTGGCTATTGTAAATAGTGCTGCAATGAACATAGGGGTGCAGATATCTTTTTGAATCAGTGTTTTCATTTTCTTCAGCTAAATACCCAGAAGTGGAATCCTCAGGTAAGAACTCTGGGGTGTGCAAACGGACCTGAGCCAGTCCTGACTTCAGTGTTCACGGTCTAGTTGGGGAGATAAGGGAGCTACATACACTCATGTATATATCACTTGTATATACAGCAACAGTGTATATAAAAGTGATGGGGGTTTCCCGGTGGAGGAAAGGTCACCTATTTGAGAAGGGGTGTAGAAATAGATGGAGGCAAGTCTCTCTGAGGAGGTGGGGTCAGCACGACTGCACATGCAAGTTGGGTTGCATGGGGTGGGGGAGGGGCCTGTCCAAGTTATCTTGCTGCCAGCAGTGCATGAGCGTTCCCATTGCTCCACGTCCTCACCAACATTTAATATTGTCAGACTTTTAAATTTTTGCCAAATATGATGGATTAGCTCATGGTGTGTTATTGTGGCTTTAATTTACCTTTGATGAGGTTGAGCACATTTCCTATACTGACTGGCCATTTGGATTTCCTCTTATGTGGAGTGTTTGTGCAAACCTTCGGTCAATTTTTCTGTCAGATTGTCTGCCTTAATGATTCGTAGGAATTCTTTATGTTACTTTGAATCACATGAATTTGCTGGTATTTGATCATTCTGACCTACAAAAAATGGCAGTTTCATATGGTTCAACTTGGTACATGCTGGATACTTGTCCTATGTTAATTACATGTGCTGCTAAGTATTTTATCATGTTATATGGCTTATCTTTTCATTTTCTTTATTTTTTGAGGGTCAGAAGTCTCCAATTTTAATGCATTTAAATGTATCAGTCTTTTCTTTTATGGCTGGTGCTTTTGGTGTCTTGTTTAAGAAATCCTTCTTGTCTTTTGTGCTGAAGGTGACCAGACTGTGCTGGAGGCTTGGAGCTGTGCTCCAGGGCATCTTCTTTGGGCCCTGGGTCACACTGCTTCCGCTGTGGGGCAGGCAGATTCCTCTGGGACCACAGGCTTGGCTGGGTAGGGGAGGGAGAGGCCACTTCCGGGGTCCTTCTACCATAGAGCCCAAGTTTCCAAGAAGAGATTTTCCGTGGACTGTGTCCCCACCCTTCCTGTGAGTGTGGAAGGTCTTCCCAGTGGATGGGCAGGCCTGTGTCCCATTGGGCCAGGGTTGGGGCAGGACCGAGCTAACACCTGTGTGGATGCTCAGGCAGGGTGGGCTGTGACAGGGGCTGACTCCAGCTCAGAACTGGGATATCTGGTTCCTGAACTGTGGGTCCCTGGAGCAGATGAGGTGGGACAGGGAGAAAACTGGAGGTGGTGGAGCAGTAGGAAACCTCCCATCTGCCCTCTAATTCTGGATTTGAGGGCATGTAATGGCACGATTCTAACCAACTGCCTCAAGCAGAGCAGGTGGCAGCGGGTACGCCTGTTGGGGGACGGGGAAGATGTCCTGACTCCTTGGCCCTTACTCCTCAAGGTCACCTGGGTTAGGCAAGGCAGAGGATGGTCGCACTGTTCAGTTCCCTTCCCAGGACCCACAGTGCCTGCCACGTGGGAGGCATTAGTAGATATTTGTTCAGTAATACATTGACAATTTTCAAAGAATTGTGTAAAAAAATTAATTTTCTAGTTTCTCCTGAAGAACACTTTTTGTAACCACTAGGTGGCGGAGTTAATTACATCAAGCTGGCTTGTGGTGGGGGGGAGCGCGGAGGGGTGGAATTCAGATAGGGAAGCAGGCATTTGAATTTAAATTCAATCTTGTTTTAATTCTGTTTTGGAGCCTGTTAATTACTAAGTTTAAAAAACATATTGTCCTAAGAAATATTTGCAGGGTAAATCTGAGATAAAGACAGTGGTGGATTACTTTCTTTCTCAAGCTAAAGATGGTATGAATTTCTCTTCTACTTGTTTCCAAATTCAGTCCTTTTAGGGCTTCCACTAGATGTAAATTCTTTCCATTCTTTATTCAGATAAATGAATGTCAACTCAGTTTGCCCTTTTGCTCCGAAGTGGTCTTTTACTGTCAGAATGTGGTGACCTCCTTTGTTTATTGCATCTGGCAGGCCTGAGTCTCTGGGACTGACCCCTTCCCAAGTCCCCCGCCAGAGCTCTTCCTCAGCTTCCATCCCCGTTGATTACCCTCCCTCGTTTCGAACAGCTTCAGAGAGTCCTGGATCTTCGGTTTTCTCTTCTGTAGGAAATCAGGTATCTTGCCAGTCCTGCCTTTTGTTTAAAATTTTTTTTTCAAAAGCAATTTGTTTATTTGAAAATACAGGGCTTCCCTGGTGGTGCAGTGGTTAAGAATCTGCCTGCCAATGCAGGCGACATGGGTTCGAGCCCTGGTCTGGGAAGATCCCACATGTCGCGGAGCAACTGAGCCTGTGCGCCACAACTACTGAGCCCGTGCCACAGCTACTGAAGCCCACACTCCTAGAACCCGTGCTCTGCAACAAGAGAAGCCACTGCAATGAGAAGCCTGCGCACCGCAACAAAGAGTAGCCCCCGCTCGCCGCAACTAGAGAAAGTCCGTGCACAGCAACAAAGACCCAATTCAGCCAAAACAAAACAAAACAAAACAACAACAAAATATATACATATATGTTACAGCTACAATCACAGGCTTGCATCACAGAGGCTCTTATTTTGAGGGGAAAATTAATGTACACATCTGGAAATGACTTGGAGGTGTTGAGTTAGGGATGGACAAATAATCCCAAATTTATCTCCATATCATTATGAGTTATTATGATAGTAAAACTGTCCTTCGTTTTTCTGTGTACAGGTCTGTGAGTTTTAATACATGTATAGATTCCTGTAACCAGTACCATGATCAGGATAAAGAACAGACCATCACCCCCCAAACTCCTTTGTGCCCGCTCTGTTTTTAGTCACACTAAAATGTTGCTGTACAATATTGTGCTTATATTTAATGATTTAAAAAAACGTGGTGCCACTTTCTCTGGCCATCACAGTTTCTGATGAGAAACCACAGTCATTGGATTACCCTTCTCTATAGGTAATGGGTCATTTTTGTTTGGCTATTTTCAAGACTTTGTCTTTAGTTTTTTAGCAGTTTGATTATGATATATCTAGGCTTGTACTTCTTTGAGTTGGTTCTGTTAAGGGTTCATTGAGCTTCTTGAGTCTGTCTGTTTGTGTCTTTCAGCAAATTTGGGAAGTCTTCAACCATATGTTTTCACACACAAACAAAAGTAATTGTTTCGGATACCATTTGTTTGCCTCTCCAGATATTCTTTCCATATTTCTCTAGCCTGCTCTGTGCCCCAGAGGGGTGCCTTATATGGATCATATCATTGCCCAATGTCCCATGACTTCCTGTTAGGTTTGGCGAATAGGGAAAACTAGCAAGAGGTAGAAATGGGTAGTTTGGGTATTTATTTCTCAGGATGCCTCACTGTGGAATCATCTCAGGCTGGCTGTGTTTCTCTGGGAAGGTGAGAGCTCAAATCGAGCACCATCTCCATCAGGTTTCTCTGTCTCTGGCTGAAACACAGTAATTGCTCCCCTTCCTCATTTTTTGGGTTTAGCTGATGATACGCTCCCCTCCACCTTGGTTAGTAATCCTGGTATGGCAAAATTCATACCAGGGAGCGGGGATCAGAGTCTCTCTTCCTTTCATCCTTCATTCCCAGGCATTTGGGCCTACAGTCCCAGGACCAGCCTCAAAGAGAGTCTGTTTTCAAGGCTGGCAACTCTAGACCCAGACTGGCTGTTGGGAGTGGAACAAGGTTTGTAGGTTTGCTGTTGCCTCTTCTCCTCTGCCTCCCTCCAGCCAAAAGAAATACCCTAAGCAGGAAGCTGGGAGCAACAGCACGAGAGTTTATTATCATCATTGCTCAAGAGGGGACATGAAGCAGGCAGGATGGTGAAGGTGAGCAGGAAATGGACCAGAGCAGCTCTGATGGTTGGTGGTGCAGGGCAGTAGCTGTGGCCATGGGGGAAGGATAACTGGGGCCAGAGGAGAGCCTCTCTTCCTGGCCTGGTTCTTCTTCCACGAGGCAGATGCTGGGACACCCAGTCCAGGTGGAGCTCCAGACATGAGTCCTCTGGAGAAGCAGGGCTAATTTCACTCAGTCCCAGCAGTTTCTTCCAAGGGAGGGTCTCTTTTCTAAGGGAAAAGGAGGGGGTGGGACAGCCCCATGGGGGAGAGAAAGTGTAAATGCTCTGTACCAGGGCAGCTTAGTTCTGGAGCCAATCAGATCCAACATCAGCCTCATGGTACCTGATGCAAAGAGCCTCAGGGTCCCACCATGTACATGGACTTCCCTAGCTTCCTAGGGTCTCTTTTACAGATTTTTTTTTTTTTTGATGTGGACCAATGTTTTAAAAGTCTTTAGTGAATTTGTTACAATATTGCTTCTGTTTTCTGTTTTGGTGTTTTGGCCGCGAGGCATGTGGGATCTTAGCTCCCCGACCAGGGATTGGACCAGAAGCACCCCCCTGCACTGGAAGGTGAAGTCTTAACCGCTGGATTGCCAGGGAAGTCCCTCACTAGGGTCTTTGGACTGGGTGTTACTTGGTCAGGGACAGGGGGGTCTCTGGGCTGGGCCACTACTGGGGTGGACAGACAGGAATGATGCCCCTTGACACTCACTGTAATGACAATTTTCTCCTCCCCAAACCATCCGCTCTCCATTCCTGTCTCCCCTGGACAGCACTGCTGCCCCAAACACACAGACACAGGCTTTAGGGACTCACCTCCTTGGATCGGTATTTTCTCCAGGAGCACAGACACAGGGGGACCAGAGATGCCAGAAGCAGTAGAGCCCAGACCCCCAACAGCATGGCATTGATGCTTATGAACAGGGCCTGGGGACAGAGGACCAAAGCTGTAGGCACCCAGAGCGACTGTTGCCATTTGTGGTCTGTCTTCACGCTGATCATGGCACAGGGTCACTCTCCATCCCGTTCATCCCATCCCCAAGTCGGTAGCTTCCGGGGTGGGGGGAGGCTGAAGGAGGAGCAGGGGGTCAGTGGGGGTGGAGGTGGGGGCCAGCGGGTATAGCATGCAGAGAGCGGCCAGTAACCCCTGTCACCGGGTCTCAGCATCCTCATCTGAGCAGCGATGGGCTTGGGCCGTGGTCTGGTTCCCTGACAAGCCCAAGACTTGAACATGCATTTAACACCTTCGCAGCTCTTCACATATTTGCAGTATTAGCTCATTTATTATGAGTTCAGTGTTTGTATTTCCCACAGATCGGTAACTCCCACAACCATAGGAACCGCTTCTGTTTTGCTCGCTGCCACGCTGTGGTGACCGGAGACATGCTCGGGGCAGAGCAGGTCACGCCCTTTTTGGTGGACAGCCTCACTCTCCTACGCTGCCTGCCCCTCCCTGCCCGCTGCCTGCTGCCTTCCCCGGCCCGGCTGCCTTCAGCACGTTCACATAGGAGGTGCACAGCTGCAGCCTTCCCTCGTCTGCACTCGGAGGGCTGGGGGCCCCAGTGGGCCTCCAGGAAGGGGAGACATCACAGACACTGTTAAAGAAAAAACGGTACTCGTGGAAACTTCTAGCCCCAATGATGATGGCGGCTGTGGCCGTGGAGAAAGCTGCCAGGGTGAGCAGGGTCCTCAGCAGGGCCTGGTGAGGGCAGTGTGCAGAGACAGACCTTGGAGACTCAGTCTCTCTGGAGCTCAGCCCGGGACAAAGAGCGGGAAGCCTAGTGGAGGGGGCGTGGGATGGGCGGCAGGCTGGGGGTGGCCTCCAGCTTCTGGGCCTGGTGTCAACCCCTCCCCGAACTCACCCAGTAGGTGCCACCTCGTTTCTCATAAATGAAGGCGACAGCTCCAGCCAGCACAGCCTGGGGAGAGACTGAAGCAGCAGGGGTAGCTCAGGGCAGCCAAGCCCCACCCCCAGCAGCCTGCTTCTTTTTCCTTCCTCAAGTCCCACAGGCAAAGCCAACCATCCTGCTGGCCTTTCCCCACAGCACCCCACGTGGACCCAAGGTTTTGAGCTGAGCTCTGTTGTCTGTAAGACAACGGTGAGGATGTTGAAGGCTGAATCAAACGCCCGAAGCTGCAGGACCCTCTATTTTAGGGACATCAAAACTGCTCATGGTCAAGCTGGGTGTAAGCCCCCCTTCCCTTCTCCAAAACCCTCTCTTTTTAAGCAACACCAGGTGCTTTATGAAAGCTCCAGGGCGGTGGGGTGGAAGGTCCGGGGTGTTGGAGGAGCTCTCAGTACAGGATCAGCGTCCGCTGCCTCGGGGTGAGGGCAGTGGCTCGTTCCAACAGTGCTCAGCCTCCCACCCAGCGGGCCCTCCAGGACAGGAAGTCTGGTTGATGCCAAGGGAAAGATGGATCTGAATCCTGTTTGGCAGTTCTGTAGCTAATCTCAGTGTTTTCGGCCGTGGGGTGGATGAGGATCGTTACTTTGGGCTCCTCTCTTAATCGATATGTGTGTTTTGCTCTTGTTCTTTAAAGTGGGCAGGACAGAGGGCGCCTCTTTCCTGCTATGATCCGCCCATCCATCTCCTGCTGCAGGTGGCACACGTCCATCTGCTGACATAGCTGCTGTTGTCCGGTGAGCCCCCCTGGACTTCCCCTGTGTGTAGGGCCTGCAGAGGGCAATGGGAAACCACCGGGGGGTGCATCTCCCTTGTACACACCCTCCAGCACGTTCCACCTCCCTCCGTCTCAGTGCAAGGGCCTGGAGATGAGCCCTGTCCTGGATCCTTAGCTGATCTGCTGCTGAAGGTGGGAGAGAAGTGGTGGGAGAAGCCCGGTGCAGGGACCCGGGAGAGCTGACCCGTGACCATGGCCCTCCCAGCCCTTAGCTCAGCTAGTTTCTCGTCTGCAGAAGCCTGGTGTCAGCCTAGAGATCTGGGAGTCTTTTCAGCTGCAAACAGTCTACATTCTGATGGGGTCGATGGTGGTGGTCTCTCACCTCTGATAGGGGGTCCCTCTGCCCACGGTCCTCCGGCCCCACTTACCACAGCCCCTGTCCAGATGGGAGCTCCCGATCCAAGCAGCGTGGTGTAGTAGAATATGAGGAGGAATCCCCCCAGAACCCCACTCAACACCCCCAGCACGATCTGCACCGCCTGAAAGATGAAAAACCTAAGAACCCGGATCCCAGGTTCCCAGGCCCAGTCTGCGCCTAAGTCTCAGGGGAGTTTTGAGGACCTTCCACTCCATGTATTAAAGGTTAGAACCCTATGAAAGGGAGAGAGAGAGAGAGAAGAGAGAGAGGGGGCACGAGAAGGGAGAGGACAGGAGGGGAGAGAAGGCTAGGGGAAGGGAGAGCTAGCCCACGCTGGGTCGTGGGAGGATGAACTCCGGGTTCCACCAGCTGGGACTTTAAATGGTCAGGGGCTCCTTTGCACCCTTCAGCCCACAGCCCACCCTACCTACAGCTTTCACTGAGAGGCCAGTAAGTGAAGGAAAAGCCAGAACTTGATCTCTAGGAAGAGCATAAGACTGGCTCAGCATCCCATTCAGAGAGAGGCTGGCTGGGAGAGTGTGCAGCCAGAGGAGGGGGCTTACCCTTCCCAGTCCGGGGAGCCTGGGCGCCCGTCCTCGCCCCGCGAGGCAGGCAGCCCTACTCACCCAGGAGGCCACCAGCAGCCTGCGGTGGCCCAGGGCCCGGGAGGCGGCGTGGGGTGAGGGCACATGGGGCTGCGGCAGGGGCCACCTGCTCAGCAGCAGCTTGGCCAGAGCCGACTCCTGGTGGATGTGCACCTTGATGCAGGTGGGCTGGGGAGCCCCAGAGGCCACGTCCCCACCATCTGCCATCTTCAAGCCGGTGGACACCCGCCTGGGAGGGGGGAAGGGGGCGTCAGGGGGAAGAGTTGGCAGAAGGTTTGCACAGATTCCACGGGAGCTGGCGAGGCCCCTGGTCACAGTGCAGCATCCGGGACCTGCCTTGAGGGGTGTCATGTGAGGGATTCCCGCGTCTGCTGAGGCTGTGGCCACCGCTCAGCCCACTGGAGCCACCCCCTTCACCCTAGACCTGCTGTGTCTCCCCATCCTCCACCCACGGCCTCAGGGTCTGGACCAAGCAGTGCCCTGGAGCCCTCACCTCTCTCCTTGCTGCTCCCAGCCCGCTTGTGTGATCACGGCCCTCACCCTGGCTCTCCCCTCTGCCTCTTCCCCTCCAGAGCCCTCAGGCTGCCAGACAGAGCTGAGTCCTGGCTGCCTGTTGATCTACTATTGAGGCAGCTGCTTCCCAGCTGAGCCCGGGGACCCACCCCCCACCCCTACATATTTCCCTCTCCATCAATGGCTACCCAGCCCTGCGCTGCCTGTTCAAACTGCCCCCCCCCAAACCCTCTGCATGAACTTGTGGGTGCAGATGGAGGCCAAAGGCCAGAATGACTTGACATCAAACGGGGACAGGGCTGTACCTGGCCTCCACCCCCGCCACCTTCCTGGACGCACATCCTCTGCATGGTGGTTGCTCCTTCCCTCCCCAGCAAGTTCTGGGGGGCCTTTGAGGGGACTCCTCTGGGGAGGGGCCCTGTGAGAAGGGTCTCTGGGAAACGGCCTCCTTGGCTGAGGGCCTGCCTCACCTGCTCTCGTCAGGGACCGACAGTCACGGTCGAGGGTGATAGGAGGGCTGGGGACAGCTGAGTGGGGTCTGAGAACCAGGCAGAAAGGGGAGGGGTTTGGTGGAGCTCCAGAAAGGGAAGGATGAGGCAACTTCTCAGCACACAGCTGGAGCAAAGGGCCCCTCCGGGGTTTTCCAGCTGCCAGGGGATATCACTCGACTCCGACGCCCTGGAGAGCACAGGGGCCAGGTGGATGGCCTGGGAGACCGCAGAGCTGACCAGCCCTGGAAAGTCCCCCATCCCCACCAGGGCGGGGGCTTTCTGAACAAGAACTTGCCTGTGCCGTGTGCACCCCAGTGTGTGTGCCGCGTAGGGATGAACACGCCAGCGTGTGCGTGTTTGTGGGCTTGCCTTCTCCGGCCACAGCCTGATTATCTACTCAAGACCAACCCCCACCCCCCCAAGAGGGGCCCCTTTGGGCCAGCTCTTTTCTGGGAAGTCAAGATGCTGAAAGTCAGACGCTCATCACTCCACCCCTTCCTTCTGCTCTCTCCCACCCACTGCCGGGTGCCTCAGCTCTGGGCAGCTCTGCTCTGCTCGGCCGCTGGTTCCCAGAGGACAGCAGGTGAGCAGGGCCCTCAGGTGAGCAGCCCAGGTGACCCGTCCCAGGAGACTCTCAGTGCAGGACCCCTCTCTCTTTCTCTCGAGGAGTCTCCAAGACCAGTCCCCAAAGCCCCCATGCTGTCTCACAGAATGCCATCTTCCCCCGATTCCTGGTCCTTGTAGGACCTGCTTGGGAGGGAGGGATACACTAGATAGAGGACGTGACACTAGAAAAATGGCTAGGGAGGTCGGGGTGCCCATGCCTGGCCACGTCAGCTGAACTCTCCCTCCCCAGTGCCTCATATCTTTATTCTGAGGGTGGGGTGGCTGAGGCTCAGGTGGTTTCCTGGTGAGAGGTCCTTCAATAGCAAAGGCAGAAGGTGGAGGGCCCAGGGTGTAGTTGGGATCCTGGCCCTGTCTCCCCAGTTTCAGGGGCACAGGGAGCAGCTGGGCAGAGAAGAGTGTCCAGGGCAGCAGGGAAGAGCCCCACACCCTGGAGTTAGGGTGGCGTGAAAGGGGATCTTCATGGGGCTGGCCTGGCTCAGAGGAAGAGCAGGAATCTAGGCTGATCTGGGGATTGGAGCTGGGGGTGAGGCGAGAGGGGGAAAAAGTGGTATCCAGAGGGCTCAGAGGGAGTCGGAGCCCAAGACACATTCTGGCCTCTGCAATACGATGCTGATCCCTGGATCCCAAGGAAGATCTGGCCAGAATCCCTGCTGGGCTTCCTTGTGTGTCTGTGAACAGGTCTGAACCTCCTTGCACATCTGCAGAATCGTCAAACACCTGTCCTGTATACTGCATGGAGGCCAGGTAGGTGAGGAGTGAAACCGCTCTGTAAAGTTCATACGATACACATGGGAAGGCCTTAAACTTATTACTCTTGCTGGTGTTCTTAGAATTGTTATTAATAATGTTATGATTTAAACAGTGATAAGTAGGATGCCCATGAGAATTACTTGGAGAGGATTTCCTCTGGAGCTAATAGGCAAGTTGATTCTAAAGTGCCTAAGGAGAAGTAATCTAGCAAAAGTGGCCATGAGGGGCTTCCCTGGTGGCGCAGTGGTTGAGAGCCCGCCTGCCGATGCAGGGGACACGGGTTCGTGCCCCGGTCCGGGAGGATCCCACATGCCGTGTAGCGGCTGTGCCCGTGAGCCATGGCCGCTGAGCCTGCGCGCCCGGAGCCTGTGCTCCGCGACGGGAGAGGCCACAACAGTGAGAGGCCCGCGTACCGCAAAAAACAAAGCAAAACAAAACAAAACAAAACAAAACAAAAACAACAAAAAAAGTGGCCATGAAAGAAAAAAGTAACATAGGGGAGGTCATGAAAGAGCTCAACTAAATATTAAACTCTATACTCATTATTAAAATTACAGTAATGCTGCATGACTCATCAGATCCACCAATGGGCAGAATATAAAGACTAAAATAGGCTTGGATTCCTACGGGAATTTTATTTTTGCTCAGGGTAGCATTTTAAATCAGTGGGAGAAAGATGATATATTCCGTAAACAGAATATACTCTTCAGAAGTTAACCATCTGAAGAGAACAAACCAAAACCAACTTGGATCCATTTTTTCCAACTTACAAGGTAAATTCCAGATGGCTCAACATTTAAATGTGAAAACTGAAAACGTAAAAGCACTTAGAAGAAAACATGGATGAATTATTATTTTATAATCTTGAAATGGGAAAGTTCCTTTTAAGTACAATATAAAACTCAGAAATCATAAAAAGTGACTGAAAACTTTGATTATATAAAAATACAAATGAAGTCAAAAGTAAATCACAAATTGAAAGCACTATCTGTAACTCATGTCACAGATGGTAATTTTTCAAATACACGAAGAACTCCTATAAAGACCAAAACAAAACAGAGTAACACGAGGAGTTCTTAGGATATGAAAGGAAAGCTCCCAAAAGAAGAGGAAGAAGGCTCTTAAACGTATGAAAAGATGACCAACCTCACTCATAATAAGAGAATTGATACTGGAATAGTCACGGAAAGCAGACTGGTGGTTGCCTGGGGCCAAGGGTTGGAGGGGTTCCAGGGCAAGGGACTTTAGGGAACTTTTTGCAACATAGAAATGTTCTGTATCTTGATTGTAGTTATGGTTGCACATATGCACACGTTTGTTAAAAGTCACCGAGATACACGATTAGAAGGGGGCATTTTATTGACTAAAATGGATTAAAATCTACAACGGAATGTCATTTTTCCAAGAGACATTTGAAAAGATTAGCAAGTTTGCTGACACCTTCTGCTGGTCTTGGGGAGGGGCAGGGCACAGTCTTGGATCTCATGCCCTTGCATGAGAATTGCATGGAAATAGCTCCATGGAGGGAAATACCTTTTAACATTACAAATACACATTCCCATTGACCTGCTGATTCCACATTGCTTGTAAGAAAAAAAAAATAAAGGTCTATAAATAGGGGACTGCTTAAAAAAATTATGATGCATTCATACAGTGGAATACTATGCAGCCATACAGATGAGTGAGGACGCACCTTATTGGCCTGATGTAGGATTATTTTTAAAAGATGGTTCTGTGAACAAATCGTTGTGCAGAAACTTGTGTGTGCTATCCTGCCATTTGTGGGAAAAGAGGGAGAGAAAGAATGTTTTTACATGTTTTTATATGCAAAAAAGTCATTGTAGGATATATTAGAAAATGGTAATATTTTTCCACCTGGAAGATAACTAGCTGGCTAGGAGAGCAGAGTGGGCCTCAGCGATACCCCCGTTTTCATCTTTTGATTTTTTTTAACCACATGAAAGTGTTACATATCAATATGTACACCATGCTGCTGAAATAATTCAGATTCCTTTCTTTGTCAATCCCAAGACCCAGACAAACTGTATCTGACCATTTTGGGAAAAGGTCCAAGAGTATATATGGTGAAAACTCTAGAGGTGATTCAGATTTGCATCCCAGATTAAGGTCACTGTGACAGAGACTTCCCTGGCGGTCCAGTGGTTAAGACTCTGTGCTTCCAAGGCAGGCGGCGTGGGTTTGATCCCTGGTTGGGGAACTGAGATCCCACATGCCGTGACTTGACTCAAAGACTGTTTTCTCTCCCTGCACTCAGGCAGTGTATTCCTTTTTCCCTTACTTAGATCTCAAACCTCACTTCTGTGCATCTCCCCAGCAGGCAGGATGACCCAAAACATGCTGACTGTGAATGGAGTCGATGTGGCCTCTACGCTGTCCCAGCCCACTGACATCGACATCCACATCCACCAGGAATCTGCTTTGGCACAACTGCTAAAAGCTGGGAGTTCCCTGATGAAGCGTCTCTCCCACCATCCTGCCAAGGCCAGGATAAGCTATGGACAGCTGGCACTAGGGGTAAGGGCGGGATGGAGAGGTGGGTTAGCAAAGGTGACACAGAGGAGGGTAACGCTCCTTCTTTGGTACGATGCGGAAAAGGAAAGTGGGTTGAATCCCCATGAAAACTCACTATTCGTATCCCATCTTGTTTGGGAAAAGAACGTTTGGGAAGATTCGCCCCAGAGATTTAGACGGAAAGGAATAGTGGATCCCTTCTTCGGTGCAACGTGAGCAGTCCCAGCCAGAGCTGGGGGGTGGGCGGAAGGGTCTCTGGAGGCTGTTCATTCAGGTTGATTGAACCCACGTGGACAGAGGGCCTGCAATGCAAGGCAATATGATATGCACTTCCTAGATAGAGACTATCTAGGCAATAACCTGAAGGTGCTCAGCATCCACCAGAAGGGATTAGGCGACTACACTAATGCCTAGAATTAAAGGTAGCTCAGGGGACATCCTTGGGAGGCAGGATGGCGTCCTGCAGGGGTAGGCATCTGAGCCAGACCTTGAATGGAGAAACAGTGTGTTTAGACAGATAGAGGTGGAAGATGAAAGAAAAGGAATTTTGGGTTAAAAGAATGGCAAGAAAGAAGGCAAAGAAGCCAGAAAGCATAGGACAAGTTCTGTCAGGGTAAAGAGAATGGGACTCATGGCTGATTAGACTGGAAATACAGACCAGGGCCATATTGCTGAGAGCCTTGAGTGACAAGGTGAGGAGTCTGCTGTCCTGAATCAGCTGCGATAGTGGGAAGACTGTGGAGGGATTCTGAACAGGCGCCTGAGCTTCAGGCAGCCTCACGGCCAGGAGGTGTCCAGGTAAGAAGCATGGAGGGTCTGCACCTGTGGTGTCGCAGCAGAAATGAGGAGGAAAGAGAGGAGTCCAAATCCTTTGTGGATGGGGTTGCCATGACTTGGATGAGTGGATGTGGAGTACGAGGGACGAGAGGAGTCCGGGAAGATGCTGAGGTTTGGAGTGAGGGAGACCGGAAAATTGGAGCCCTGGAAGTCAGCGAGGCAGACACTGAGGGTGTGCGTAGGGTCTGGAATTTGGACGCAATGAATCTGAGAAGCTGGCAGGACATGTAGGACATGTAGGTGGTGACGTCCAAGAGGCTGTGATAGTTGGATCCTCCAGGAAGCAGACGCCGAGTGGGAGTTGGGTGTGCGAAAGGTTTATTGGGGTGTAACATCCATGCAATGTAAAGGGCAGGAGCAGGGCTGCGCAGGGGGAGACATCAGATCATGAGGCAGGGCTGACGAGGTCTGGGCCAGCCCAGTGGGGAGCTCGGGAGCAAAGACTGCCCATCACAGGAGTTCCGTGTTAGCTGAAAATGGCCCTTGAACCACTGCCTTGCTTAATCATTGGCTGGGTAGCCACCCCCAAAGACTGTGCCCTCAGTTTGAAAGATGAGGGGACCTTGAAGGCGCTGACCACTGGAGGCTGTCAGCTAACCACGCTCCTTTCTTGAAGGAGGTCATCATGGCCCATCCTGGACAGGATGATGGGCTTCCCAAGGGAAAATGAGGAGGAAAAAAAGGAGGAATCATCAGGTGGGATGACAAATTGTGGTATTTAGGAAAAATGGGATTTAGAAAAGAATGAAGGATAAAAGGCTGGCAAGTCAGAGGGATGAGGGAGAACCAGGACGGGCTGCTTCAGGGACGTTAAGGGAAAAGAATTTCCAGAATCGGAGCTGCGGAGAAGTCAGGGCAGAGGAAGAGGAGAGGAAAGCCACCTAGGTGGGAACTGGGTGGCTGCTCCTGGAGCAGGTGACTCATGGGAAGGGGTGTGGCTTTCCCCATCTCTTGCAGGTGACCCAGATATTGCTGGGGGCTATGAGCTGTGCTCTTGGAGGGCTTCTCTACTTGGGGCCCTGGATTCAGCTGCGTGCCTCAGGCTGTGCCTTTTGGACAGGGTTTGTGGTGAGTAAGAAAGGGGTTGTGAGCTCTGAGGGAGGCAAGTGTTTATGGACAAGGAGAAAGAAAGTTCCTTTTGGACCTGGGTCAGGGATTTGGGGAAGGGACCACAGACCCAGAGTCCAAATGCTCTCTGTTATGAGGAGGCCGCCTTAGGGGGTGGGCAAAACCCTTCCACCCTCTGTTTTTCTCTTTAAGGCAAGGCTGGGAATAGCGGGGCAGTTGTAGGTGGAGTCCTGTCCACCTGCTAGGTTTCTTTGCCTGTTCCTTGGGTCCTGCTTCAAATTGGCTGCTCTGGGGCCCTGTTGGGAGAAGTGTGACGGAGATCATTTCAGGACAGCCAACTGGAGGACTTTTCTGGTGTCTTCTCTTCCTAGGCCATTGCAGCAGGAGTTGGGGCCATTGTCCATGAGAAACGCTGGGGCAAGCTTTCAGTGAGTCTGGGCATCCTCTGGGCCCCACCTTGTCCTCTACCCGCTCCTGTGTCTCTGTTTTCCTGCCCGATTTTTCTGTCTTCTCCCCTTTGGTTTCAAATATCCTAAGATCTTTCCTGGAGGGGTAGGGAGGGTTTCCTCAGCCAGGAAGCTGGGGAAGAGGAGACCGATTTCAGGCCGGGACCCCACGGCTCTGCTATCCATAGAGGGAGTCTGCAGCCTGAACCTCTCTCTTCTAGGGCTGCATATCAAGTCTGCTCACGCTGGCTGGCATTGCCACGGCCGTGGCCGCCGTTGTCTTCTGTGTGAATAGTTTAACCTGGCAACCTGTCTTCTATGACGTCAGCTCCGTGTGTGATCCCTTAGTCCCTGACACCCCCACCTTTGGGTACGAACAGACTAGACGAAGCAATTCCCATTCATCGTGGAGGGAGAGGCACTGCAGAAACTACATGCGAATGCTGAGGGTGAGAAAGGAGAGTCAGTCTTCCAGGACGCGCCACAGCTGTGCATTGGGGAATTGGGGCACCTGAGGGCAGAGATGTAGGCTCTCTGAGCTACGAGTTCATCCGAGGTCTTTGGTTCAGGAGGTTTTAACTTAATCTGAAGCCATTGTTCAGATCCTCATGGCATGAAAATTCCCTGAATCAAAGGGGATGAGGACAAAGAGGAGACATTGAAGTGAGGATTTCATGAATCACCCTTCTGTCTTTTCTGGTGTGAGGCTGTTATCAGTTATCTATTTCTGCATAACATACCACCCCAAAGTGTACTGGCTTAACACTGCAATTTACTATTATTTCTCACATTCTGTGGGTTGACTAGGCTCACATGGACAGTCCTCACTTGCATTTTCTCATGAAGTTGCAGTCCGGTGTCAGTTGAGGGTGAAGTCATCCAGGAGCTGGACCGCTAAGATGGCGCACTCACACAGCAGGGAGCTCAGCTGGGGCTATCAGCCAGGGAGCCTACAATGGCTTCTCCATGTGGCTTGGGCTTCTCGTAGCCCAGCAACCAGGTTCCAACAGGGAGCACCCCACTGTGAGCATTTCAAGAGGTAGGAAATGGAAGCTGCCAGGCCAAATAAGGGCTACCCCATAATTGACCTAGTGTCACTTCCACTGTATTTTGTTGATCAAAGCTTTACCAGACCCTTCCAGATTCTAGGGGGTGGAGCAGTGGATCCCACCTCTTCACAGGGGGGGAGGTAAGGTCACATTGCAGGCAAGCAAATGGGATGGAGTCCCTCCATCCCTCCTGGGGTCCCTCCTGGGGTAGCAAAGTGATAGTAACAGCAGAAGCAGAGGAGCAGACCCCTGACTGTAACTGTTTTCTTCCTTTATCTTCAGAATTTGTTCCTAGGAATCCGTGGTCTGCTCCTGGCCATCTGTGTCCTGCAGGTCATTGTATCCTTGGCTTCCCTGGGCGTGGGTCTCCGACGCTTCTGTGGCCAGAGCTCCCGGGCCCTGGTGAGCTGTTAGGGAGGCACTAGGGAAGGAGCGGATCTGGTTGGTGAAGCTCTAGGGATGGGAAGGACATCGGGGCAGGAACACTGCTGAGCAGGGGTCACGCTCCCCCTCACTCAGCCCTTCTCCCGTGCTTGGCTCTGCCCTTCACTGTCTGGGGAGCATGACCCCATCACTGTGTCCTGGGTTGACTTCCACCTTCATCTTCCGTGCCCTTCTTTGCTCTCATTTCCCCACGTTCCCCTCTTTCCCACGTCCTAGGTCTTGTCTGGCTCCCCTTCCTCCGTCACCTTTTTCTTTCCTCCTTCTTTCATTTGTCTGACTTCCAGTTCTATGGAGCTAACTGTACTCCAACCTTTTCCTCCCAAGAATTGATTTTCCTCCTGGTTTTTTTTTTTTCCAGGATGGAGAAGGGTCAGAGAAGAAGCTGTGGGGGGAGAATTCAGTGCCTCCCTCTCCCCAAAGGAAGAACAGCACAGCTGTTGTCCTGTGAGCAGCCAAAGACCCTGCCTGGACCCTGCATGTCCCTCCAGAGTAGCCCAGGGCCCCTCACTGCCCCGTCCCTCACACTCGCTTCCTGAGGCTGCCCCTCCTCTCGCCAACACCCTCACCCACTGTTCCCACTCCAGGGTCCTCAATTCAGTGAACAGGTACTGTCACATTTTTCGCAACGCTGATTAAACAGAAACAACCACAAAAAATGATTTTGTGCAGAAAGGATGAAGTCTCCCTTTGTTGATACGCACGGTGCGTTGGTACCCATGGAATTAAATGAGAGTTATGTATCATATGGAAACAAGGTCCCAATAAGACTTAATTTACGTTCTGCTCTACATCCCAAGTGTAAAAACTCCTTTTCATGATTTCCTTCTGTTCAGTGTAAGGTGAAAATAACTCTTACATACTTAGAATCTTTTTACCTGCTAAGGTTTTCTTTAAGCATCTATAACTGATCAGTGGGCTTTACAGAACCACGTGAGACATGAAGCAAGATCATTTCATCCTTCCCTCCCTCCCTTTCTTCCTTCCCTTCATCTTGCTCCCCCTCTGTCTCTTTCCTTCCCTCCTTCCTCCCTCCCTTCCTTTCTTTTTTCTCTTTCTCCCCCATCTCTTTCTTGCTCTCTTGTTTTTTTTTGCAGTAATTACTGTTGGTTCTCTCACAATACACACACACACACACACACACACACACACACACACACACACACACACACACACACACACACACACACACACACACACACACACACACACACACACACACACACACACACACACACACACACACACACCCCTGTTATTCTTCAATTTCATTGTAAATGATACGATTGATTCGTTTTTTACTCTTTAAATTTTCTATGTACAATATAAGTACATAGATGTAAGCACTTCTGCTGTGGAACCAGGTTCATTTGTCCAATGTGCAGCAAGCCAAATGCTGAGATGCTGAGGTGTGCAGCAGAGAAAGTGTTTGTTCACGAGGCAGCCAAGCGAGGAGACAGGAGAACAAATCTCATATCTGCCTCCCTGAAGGTGAGGGGCTTGAGATATTTACAGAGTAGAGAAGCAGGGGGTCTTAGGCGTGGAGAAAGGTGATTGGAAGTAGGGAAACTGTGAGGTAGCCGGTATTCCATGCCAGCACATCTGAGATACATGCTTCTTCAGGGGATACATGTCCAAAAATGGAGGTGCTTAGCATGATCTGAGGGTGGAGTTTTCACCCCTCTGATGTCCAAAGGTCACTCACTGGACCCCTGTGCAGGCCCAGTTTTAGGGTTGTTGGTCCCAACCAGTCTTAGCCAGCTTGAACTGGACAGGAGCCGACTCCAAGCCTTGGAAAACAACTTAAGCCCCCGTTACTATAGTGATCCATTCATCAGAGGTGTTACCTACAGGGGGCCACTAAGGAGTCAAAAAATAATTAAGACAAGCTTAGTCAGCGAACGCAGGTTACACGGGAAGGGTTTTTAACAAGCTGTTCCCTTCCCTGAAGTTCTGTAGGATGAGCTCAAGAATTTCTGTTAGTCACCAGTTTCCGTTAGCCTTATGGTGCATGATTTCATCACTGAAGGGTAAAAAAGCGGCCATGGTCTGTAGAATTAAGACGTCATAGGGATTCTGGCATTTTTGGTTCCAACATAGTGAGCAGACTTGCATTTCCATTGTGGTTTTATGAAATCTCTGAGAGGTAGGTGTTATTACTAGTTAGAAGACCCACAGCAGAACTGGCTGGGAGCCCCGCCTTTACCACCTGCATAATCCTGCACTACCATGTGGTGTTGGCAGGGGCAGAGCTGCTGGTATGGGTGAGGCATAGCCCCACCGTTGGAGGTTAGGGGTGGTGGGCTTATAGATAGAGATTTGTAAACAAGCTTGTGTAATAAAGGTCAAAGGGATGAGGTGGTATTATGTTCAGACTATTGGACAGTGCTTGGCAAATTACACCCTGAGGGGCAAGTCTGGTCTGCCACCTACTTCTGTAAATAAAGTTTTATTGAAACACAACCACACTTCTTGGTTTACACATTGTCTATGCAACAAGGGCAGACTTGAGTGGTCTCAGTAGAGACTAAATGGCCCACAAAACTTACAATAGAGTTTGCCATCCCCTGGTGTGGGAGACCCCAGTGGAGGGAGTAGCTAGTCCTACTGGGTGATTGACAGGAGCCGGGGAGCCTGTGCTCTTGCTTCCCCAAATGTGACTCTAGCATATGGGCAACAGGGAGAAGGCTTTGCCCCACCCTAGACTGGCTGAGTCAGGATTTGCATTTTCTCAAGATTGGCAGATGCTTCGTGCCTCCATCACCTTTAGAGAAGCACAGAGATAATCACATCTAGGTGTCTTGTTCAGATACAGAACAAGCCCCTTTGAATTCGATGTCTTTCATTCTTTGGATGCATTTGTTAACCTTAGCATCTTAAAAAGGAATTTTCGTGAGAAGAAACAACACCAGGGCAGAACCAAAGATGCCGGTAAGAGGAAGCATCTTTCCTCTCTTCCTTAGCTTAAGATGCTGTCAGTTTTTGTGCTTCAGTATTTCTAAGCCGTCCCTTTATAGCTAGATTAGATAGAAATTCTTTTCATTTTTCATTCTGGTGAATAAACGACAACTTGGTAGTTTGCTTATTTGTTGATTTTGTTGCTGTTTTTCTAGCGTGAAGCGATCTCTTACTGTCAGAGTCTGGCAGCTTCTTTTTTTTCCCCCTGACGTCTCTATATGTCTCTGAGGGAAGGGGTCCCCCCTCCATCTGACTTCTCCCTCTCCCCCATTTCTTCTTTTCTGGGCTCCACTGCCCTCCCTCTCCTTACCCTGTGAATAACCTTGGAAGTTTCATAATCTTTGTTTTTCTTTTCTGTAGGAAATCAGATGTCATGCCCTTCTCCCCTTGCTTTTGTTTACTTGGAAAAACCAACAGTTATTTGTCTATTTGCACAACTCAGTTTTGGTGACCAGATTGTATTTATGCAACTGACTTCATGACCCTGGGATCCAGCAATTAATCACAAGCCTATTTATATTTACTGAAGTGTTTAAAACCATTCAGAGTGTAAGCACGAAATGGTTCTCTTTCTTTTCCAATCACTGCTTTTTTTTTTTTTTTTTTTTTTTTTTTT